TAATTTCTCAAGTCGATGTGGTGGATTATTTACTTTAAAGGTGATCGAACTATGAAATTCAACTTCGAAAGAGAGTAAAGAAATATTACCTATCAACTTAAAATTTTAAATTGACATATATTTTATGTATTTATATGTATATTTTTGTGTATGTATATAAATATTATATTATCTTTATAATAGTATATTTAACAGAAATAAAAAAAGAAAATATACCTATATTTTCTACATATATATGTTAATTGTTCACTTTAACTTATAGCTTAACTAGTGTTTTATTAATAAGTTTGTAATTATGTACGCACGCCGCTACCTACTTGCTTTACATATAAAATTATTTCTTTCCCCCAAAGGCTTTGATGGAGAAGAAATTCTATTAGAGTGCAGCTCGCCTTTGTGAATCTTATTTAAATACTAGCTGTTATCCGCGGCTTTTCCCGCATGGTCACTGGGAAATGAACTATCCATTGCTTTTTGAATTGAAAGAAAACTGAGTTTTATAGATTTGTCAGAGATGCAGCCATTAAAAGGAAACTGAGCAAAATTGTTTCGTCAGCCTATTTAAATGTTTTGAAACGCAGCGTATAGGAAAGCATGAAAATAGCCTGTTTATTCGAAACGGAGCGTAATTATCCGTCAGGGATGCACACTTTTGCAAATAATCTGAGCTAAATTGATTCGTCAGAGTTGCAGTTTTCCGAATTGAAAAGAAACTGAGCCAAATAAAATATCGGTCAAAGATACAGCCTTTTGAGTTGAAAGGAAACTGAGCTTAATACGTCCGTCAGAGGTGCAGCATTTGGAATTGAAAAGAAACTGATGTGTCACTTTTGCCGTTAAATAACCGAGGAGCATCTAAATTTCGCATTAGCATGACTGGGACGCCTAATTTTAATTGAAGCTTATGTGAGGGCACACCTGACAACTGTAGAGAATTTAGAAACTCTGCGGAATATGAAGTGCTCTGTTCTGTGTTCATAATTGTGTCTACTGACAAATACTCTGTTATTTCTCCTGCTACTTCGCTTAATATATCTGAACATGATTAAAACTACTTTTACGGATTTTATCGCGTTTTTTTTTATTTTTATTTTGTAATTAAAATTTTTGGGTTTAAGAATTTCTGATTTATTTTGTTAACGTTCTCATTTTTTGGTGCAAGAATCGCCCTTTCACATAACCATTTGTCTTCATGCATGTTGTTCGTTAAATCTAAATAAACGCTCGCAATTAATTCGGAATGACTCCGTACTAAATTACAAAAATCTCTCGTCAATTTAAAGCAGCCCTCAGTATCCGTTTCCAACCGCCCATTGCCAATTTTTAATAGTGTGTCAGCATAGTTTCCAGCATTGATATCATTATACAAATGCACTCTCATATTCGTATTTAAACTGAATTTTGTCACCTTGTTCCATAACATAGACGACTTGAGGCATGCTTTAATTTCATCTGCAGATGGACACATCTGATTGACAGGTAAAAATTAATCAAATTTTGAATGACAGGTAAAATTTGGCGAAAGTCACCAGCCAGTAAAACCTGGAGCGTTCGATTTAGTCCTTCTACAGCTTTTTTATGCGACATTGTACTTTCGTCCCACACTAAAAGTTTGCATTGTCGGAGCATTATACCTGGTGCACTATTTTTGCTAAAGTTGCAGATCGGCGATTCTTCCTGGGCTAGATTTAGAGGGAGTTTTAAAACAGAATATGCAGTGCGGCCCCCCGCTTAGCAGCGTGGCGGCTATGTCGGAGGAAGCTACGGCCACAGCAATGTTTTTATCTTTCCGTACTTGCGTTAATAATAAATTTAACAAAAATGTCTTCCCAGTTCCTCCAGGGGCATCTAAAAAGAAAAGTGCACCATTTCCAGATTCAATTTGTCCTAATACTTTTTCAAAAACTCGTTTTTGTTCGGGAAGCAAGCGGGGTACAAATTCGGCTACTTGCTGCTGCAAAGCTGGTATATCGTAGTTTGTTTCACGTATAATTTCATCACTTAGATCATTTTCGGTTGTTCGGCTGAGGGCTTATCATTCCAAAGTCGCTTAATTTTTTGCCTACCATTGCCATTACTTTATCTTCAATTTTTCCAAGTGCTTCATTATAAATGTGTTCATTGTATGTCATGTTCTTGTTGTGTGTTCGCGTGTGTCTGCTGTAACCTTCGCAAAATATCTTCCGCCATGTACTCTTTATATTTGTCAAACAATTCATGTGCATTAGATAGCGCGCAAGATGATATGAGAGTTGCATAAAGATCCCTAATTTTGGCTGGTGACTGGCACTGCACAGCTTCCTCCATGGTTTCATCCCAGTGATTATCGTTTTCTAAAAGATGCAGAGCTTCACATGCTTCGCTATACGTTGCGCATTCCTGACCGTTGACAGTTTTAAGGTCTTTATATCCTGTAGGACCCCGAACATGGTGCAGCAGGAATCGTAAACAGAAACATTCAAAATTAGTTACATGGACGTTATACACACGAACAAGGGCATCTGATAACTTTACACCGGGCCAATTTGCAACAGGCGTGCCTTGAATACAGCGTTTCCACTCCTTCCTAAATGTGTTCAAAGTATAATAGCGGGGGAATTCAGAATATAACATCGTTTTTGCAAAGGGGTCGGTTTGACAAAGTTGAAGGGCTGTTAGTGTAGTTTTTGGCGATGATGCAATTCTTTCTTGGAAATTTCTTTCGGTGAAATATACTTGCTCTCCATATTCTAAGTGCACAGCAAGGTGAGTAACTGTTGGGTGCCTTTCGTATAAGAAGACGCCACGCTGCCTCGTTACTGCTGACATAACGCCCTGCTTGAAAGGTCTGTACTTCATTAACGGGATTTACCTCACCTTCACTCCTGAGATTAAATATTGCTTAGTCGTTTCCTTTATTTATGTACTTACAGATGTACTTGATTGTGCGGACAGAGCTACATGCTCTACATTAATCTGCATTAATGCATCTACATTAATGTGGGCATTAAATATTTTCTATAGAATGGGCCAATATGGGACAATCCAGCTTTTATCTAAGGTTTCGAACGCTCCAGAGCGAGATTTGATTGTAACTTTCCTGCCACCATCTTCGGGACCTCTGCGTCTGTATAAAGGGTAGCCACTGTCATTGTGCACTGTTTCTTTTAATAGCTGTTTAGGGAATTTCTTTGTACATTTTCCTTCTTTCATACATGGCGATATTGAATTTCGTGCCGTGAATCATATTTTGGACGATGGTATTGTTGCGCGCCTAAGTTGACGTCATGTTGTGTCAGGGACGAGAGCGGGGGGAACTTTCTAGAAAATGACATCACTAATCTTTCAACTGACAGCACCATCTAGTGTCGAAACGAAGAACTAACAGTACAGTACAAGTAACAGTACAAAAAGTAACAGTATCATACAATTCTTTATCTTGATCAGGATCCGGAATCTCGGCGCTTATTTTGTCGTCTATTTGGCTAGGCCGCAACTTCTCTTTAAGCCATATTAGAATGTGGGCATGCGGTAATCCTCTTTCTTGCCATTCAATTGAATACATGAAGCACTGCACCTCTCCGAAAATTTTCCCTTTGTTAATTACATACATTAATTTTTGTACTTTTAATCTAAATACTCTAGCAACTAAATCGTGTCTGTCAGTATTTTTTGGCCCGGCATTAGCTCCTCGGTTATTTCTTTCCATGTGAGATTGCAAGTAAAAGTAACAAAAAGATCAGGTTTTCCGTAAGTTCGTACATAGGCGAATGCGTCTTGTGTGTACTCATGTAGGTAGCGGGGACTGTTACCGAATGATGAGGGCAGAATTACCATTTTACCTAAATTTCTGGGGTTTATATTGGCGTCGCTAGAGACTGCATCTTGTAAATGTATATAATTCTCAACGCGCAGTTTTGTTTGATTTAAAGATATATAACGGAGACGTTCACTTTCTACCTTCACATACATGTCTACCAAAAATTGATGAAATAATTGTCCACACCGAGCTAAGAGGTTAAAATAATTTTCTCGCAACATCATATGATACGCTTAAAAATCCACACATGATACTTTTTTGTTCGGAGTAGGCTCCTTTGTGACCGGGTTAATGAGTGGATTTTGTAAATGATAACCCTCTTGTCCTTTGCAATAAATCAATGGGTATTGCAGAGCGTCATAAAACTTGTGTGTATCGGCTACCCGTTGCAACGTATTCATCACGTGCTCGCAAGACAATGTCTCGTGAAGAAAATTGATCACAACTAATTACGGCTGTTATTTCGTTTATCAAAGGTGCATTGTAGCGCCTTTCATGCTTTCCTCGAGGGGTCTGATCTGCGTGAATGACAACTTTATAATCCTCTTCAGGTAGGTTTTCTATAGCAGTTTTAAATGTTTTGACTAAAATGTTACGTTCATGCAAGAATCTTTGAATTTTGAACACTGTGTCTCTCTCAACTCACTGGATAAATTTGCAGCGACGGTCTACCTCAATTTCTTCGTCACCCATAAAATATACTTGTAAAAATTTATGCTGTTCGTTTTCAGCTGGAAAAAGTGAACCTATTCTATGATAAATTTGCCCTTGCATCCTAAATGTAGGCGAAAATCCCGGCATTATTATTTCCCGGTCAACTCCGAAGGAAGTCATTTGAAAGCATGAGTTATATTTCCGGATCCCGTTTAAAAAGCGCCGTGACTCATTAGCATCATATAAAAAGAGAGTTTTTAAAGGTTTTTCTGGTTCCCCAAGTAACGGAGGAGACACTTTGCCATTGGAACAGCACAAGCCTGCTTTCTCATCTTTCCATTTTAAACCGCTGCAAAATCGACACGCCTTGTCCATCAGTCAGATAACAACTAACCTGTGATTTTTATAATCAATCAACGGATCATAATTGCATGCTGCGTCAATAAAACCGACCAATTGTTTCTTTGAAAATTTTTTCGACGTTCAGCTTGGAGCTGTGCATTTGCATCTCTTGGCGCTTGTGTCTGTTCTGGTGTTTCAGATGCCCTTATAGAGTAGATTGGCGTTCAGCTTGCTCAATGAGTCTGTGTTGAGTTTCATCAGGTGTTTCCGCGGCTCTTAAGGCGGCCTGACGTTCCGCGTGTTCGAATAGCCTTTGCTGACTTTGAGCAGGTGTTTCAGTAGCTCTTAAAGTAGCTTGACGCTCTGCCTGTTCAAGACGCCTTTGCTGACTTTGAGCAGCTGTTTCAGTAGCTCTTAAAGTAGCTTGACGCTCTGCCTGTTCAAGATGCCTTTGCTGAATTTGAGCAGGTGTTTCAGTAGCTTTTAAAGTAGCCTGACGCTCTGTCTGTTCAAGACGCCTTTGCTGACGTTGAGAATGTCTCTGAGATGCTCTAAAAGTAGCCTGACGCTCTGCTTGTTCTTGCCTTTTCAGTTCAGCATCTTCTAAAGATTCTAGCGGTCGAGCTAATGTTTTCGCTTGTCTTTGAGAAGATACTCTTGAAAGGCTGGACTTACGTTTGCAAGGTATTATGAAGTAACAAAAAACCTATTTATAAAAAACGTTAAAATACCTAAAAGGAATTAAATTTCCTTTTAAATATTTTTTTTAAAAGCAAATCCAAAATATCTGAAAGGAACAAATATTCCTTTTAAATATTTTTTAAAATCAAGACAACAAAACCAATTTAAGACACAACACGAATCCAAAAACGATAGCCAAAAAAAATCGAATCAACTTAAACCAAGTCACAAAACAAATCGCAGAAAACCGAAATCGAAAGCAGTAGTCAATATAAATATAATCAACAAAAAAGAACTAAGTGTATAGGTACCGTATACACTATCTATACTATTAATATTCCTTTGAAATATTGTTAAACAACCTAAAACAACGAAAACCAATTCACGATTCTAAAAATGAAGAAAATCCAAAATCAAAACCAGAATCTAAATATGTATAAAGGAATACCAACCAAACAACAAAACCGATCCAAGAAAATACACAAATCCGAAAATGAAAGCCAATATAAATTCCATTCAACCTTAACCAAATTACAAAGCAAATAACAAACAACCGAAATCGAAAGCAGGTAGTCGAATAAGCTACGAAACAGAACCAATTTAAGCGTATGTATAGCGTACACAGTACAGGCTAACGGCGGGAGTTAAGTACATGTCAGGAAACATTTTGTTACCGCGTTTTAAAAACCTAGTAATGACATCTAGCGGAATCAATTTAAACTATGTATACGTTAGTTAATAAGAACTCTCAAAAATATTTTTCTTATAATTTTGCACAATTTTTCTTATTGTAATACCGATTCATTCATAACCACATATAAGAACTGTATTCATTTCCGTTCAATAAATATTACTAATGCTTATTAATAAGGCTTACTAAGAACTGTTTCTACCACAGTTAAGTAATAGTTAAGGGTGAAAGCGTGACAGGTGGTGATAGTATTTCTGATCTATACTTATAATCAATCGCTTGTAACCCTTGCGGGGTAGGCAGAGCATCAACGGATTACTTAATATCGTCTGCGAGGTTATCGCCTATTCTGTGAATTACAGTGCACCAAAACGTTTGAAAAAAATCAGCTGGTGAATTTTATGTTTTTTATCGCTCTCTTCCTGCGTGAAAAAATACCGATCCATACATTTTTTATCTTAATTTTGGTAAAAAGACATAATAATCCAGATATTCTGACCTTCAGTGTTCGTTAATCGTACCGTCGTACGTCTTGTAGAATCACGGTGGCGCCACCTAGCTGAATTTAATTTTGCAACATATTCGATTTTCCCACGGGAACGATATGTTTTTCCGCTGAAAAAAGTAGCCTATGTCACTCTATAGCCACCGAACTATCCCCATACCAAAATTCATGCCATGCTGACGCTCTGTTGCGACGTGAAAGAAGGACAAACTTTTGCAACATATTCTATTTTCCCTCGGGAATGAGATGTTTTTCCGCGGAAAAAAAGTAACGTATGTCACTCTACGGTCACCGAACTATCTCCATACAAAAAATCATACCATGCTGACGCTCTGTTGCGACGTGAAAGAAGGACAAACAAACAAACAACACTTTCGCATTTATAATATTAAGTATGGATGTAAAATTGTACACCGTCACTACAAGGTTTATGCAATTAATACTCCATCAATTTTAATATCAATGATAACATTTATATAAAAGTTAAAATTGAACGCGATATAATCCACTAAGTAAATTTTATTCAACACTTAATTTTTTATTCTTTATAATGAAGTAAAATATTGAATAATATAATAATGAGAGTAATTTTTGTCCTCTTCATTCTATCACTTCATCTTTACTTTTACAACTGGAAACTGGAAAAACTGCCTTGGAAAGGACCAGCAAGACTTACTTTTTAAAGGACAATTTAAAATAAAATAGGTTGTGAAATGTTATATATTATTAGATATATATGTTTGTTCTATGTATTTTATATATGATACCTTTCATCCGATTAGAATAATGAAACCTTGGTGAGTTTTGTGTGCGCTTCCGCGACGATTTCTGACAAGAAAGAGACATTGTAACACATGTCATTCACAACTAGTTTTATAGTTTATTCTCTAAAAATCATTTTGGTAGCGTTGAGTCTAAGACCTAAATCCATGTCGTTTGGTTGCGGCGTAAGAGAATCCATTACCGTATTGGATTGATCCCATTTTGTCCTGTATGTGGCGTTGGAGGTGACTATTGGATATGTCAGAAACTTATTGCTTCTTTCTTTCTCTTTGAAGTAAAATAGGTACCCAGTTCGGTAACGGAAAGTAACGTCAAAGGTTGCCTGCCAAGTACATCCTTCTTATGGCTTGAGAGGCTCATGACCAGCATTGGAATTTTACGGGCTGATGAAAACGATGATAAAAGAACGGAAGCCAGCGCATTCCGGCTATGTAACCACAAAGTAAAAAGCAAGATGAACGATAAAGCGATATAAGGCTGATATAAACTGAAAAGAGCAAATAGATAACGTATGAAGTAGTGTGCGTAATACATAACAAATACTATAACGGCAATTGCAAGGTCCTTTTTATATAATTTAAAAAATATATAATTTTTACTTTTAAATAATAACCTGATTATATGTGTGAATTATATATAATAAACTATGTAAATAATGTAAATTATTAAGTGAAAGACTATATAAGAAGGATTTGTATAATTGGTTAAAAATTGAATGCTTTTGATTCGACTTGATTTTTTTTTTGATTTAAATAATTAACTAATATTGCCATTATGTAGACCTTTATGATTTATGAAACGTCACGTAGGGTAAAGTGATGAATGGTCACTGTCTGGCACTGTCCGAACCGGAAATACATAGGTATCAGTGACGTAGAAAAAGTAATTCTCACGGAGCATTCAGGGCCGCCACCCCCTCCAAGTAACATTTAAAAATATATAAAACAATATAATGTATCAATAATACTGGTTATTCCTATCCTAGACAAGTGTGTGTGTATAGGGCACACATATTCAGCCTACATAGTAAAGTATTCAGTTCACATATTATTTACTTGTTCGCGTGGAATCGTGAACATCGAAGAAGCATCAATTGAATAGTCACCGGATGTCTGAATTTAATTGGCTGCATGTCGGTGTATATGTACGAGTATGTTGATAATTTATTTTTGATGCCCCTGAGCGGCACAGGAATAAATTCACGGAGGATATTTTAATTACTTATTATTCACCAACATTAACTTGTAAATACACCTTTTGAATACTTCTACCCTTTTAATAAAAGAAAACCTATGTCCAGAAATTGTACTAACGCCAGCTTAGGTATTTTTTTCACTGTTGTTATGAAGTACTCCAATAATTTTCAGTATTTTAAAATTAAATTATTTATTAAAAAATGAAACCACATCTATTTTCACGACGTAAATATTGAATGTAATGATTAATTTTTCAGAGTGGACAGCTTGCGGCGGCATACAGTTTGAAAAATGAAGCGAAATGCGACCTAGAAAGCAAGTCTTTTGAGTATTTTTCGTAAAATAAACCTAGTCATCCGCATTCATTCATGATGAATATTTTTTAAATAAGAACGCACATAGATATTACGCCCAAAACTGTAGTTCAGCGCTGTAAAAAGCTGTTGTAAAATTCTTGCACATTGACATTTTACACTAAGTAGAATAGGATTTCAGACGAACAAACAAAATAAGATGGCATTCTGCACACATTTTAAGTGATGTAAAAATCAAGCCACCACTCACACCACAACATCACACACAAGAAATATGTGTGCGTGAGTGAAAAAAAGTGAAAAAAAATCAAGAAGTTAATTTCAGCATCATTTCTTTTCCCTTTTTATTCATTTCTGGGAGTGTTCTTTTATAGAGTAAGTAAACGTACTTGACTTGATGCTTTGGTCAATAGATATTTAACTTAAAAAAAAACATTACCACACTATGATTTTCTCCTGTATCGTTGAGTTAGTATATAAAAATAAATTGTACCAGGACAAACATCCAGACCAAGAAAAATTACTTGTAGGCCATACAAATACTTATTCTGTGGGGGTTTTAAACCCACAGCCCTAAACGCCGCAACTCACTCTGCCACGGAGGACAAGGAAGTGATCGCCACGCTACAACATTATGTGTTGGCAGGATTCATATATGTCTTTAAAGTATTTTTAATTACCCCGCGATGTTTTCTCCATCCAAGTATGTGAACTGAAAATTGAAATCGATGACTTCATTGGTGCTGGCAAAGCTCGAACTCGGTTTTCCTGCGTACTATTAGTTTCTAAGATGACCGTTTCAGATGCATCTTCTACTATTACATTTTCTTTTTTTTTTCTCTTTGTTTCAATATAAGGTTGAAGGAACGAGCCAAAAAGTTCATTTGATTGTAAGTGGTTTGCAAAATACGGACTCATCTACGCGTGTCTAGTAACGAGGGCTAATGCGCCTGCTGTTTAATTAAGATAATGTGGTTTTACACGAGCTTATCATGTAGCGTCGCTGTGGACTTTGAGAGCAAAATTATTTAAAGCTTATATAAAGCAGTCTTATGTTGTTGGCGACGCGAGATAACATCTCATTAAATCATTCATTGTTTCTTAAGATAAATGTCAAATTCATATTAATTTTAGAAGATGCTAATTTTTGAGAGAAATAGAGATATTTGAACTAACTTAGTCATCTATTACATAGCAATGGGCTATGTGATACAAATGAAAGATTAAGAACACTTTATTTGCTTTAAACACTTTTGATTAATGTTTACTTAATGTTTTGATAACTGATAAGATATATCAATTATAAGTTAGATAAGGACTTACCACACAGATTAGAGAAATTTTTTATAGACTTAAGTTGTCATATTTAAAGTTTATATCAATATGCGTAGGCAACTTCAAGCTCGATATTTCAAAAACTTAACAAACTTAATTGTTGAAAATAGTTTTTGTATCTTGTAATTATTTTTTAAGATTTATTTTAGTGTTTAAGTGGAGGGAACAGAGTTACCGTATAGTGACGTGGATAACCACTATCCTAAATCATCCCGTGCGGATTGTAAGAGGCGACAGAGGGAAACAGAGAGCAGCAGTGGCTTCCTAATAAAAACTAGAAAATAAAAGACTGTGGTTGCCAATATGCTTGCTAAGCGTCGTAGCTATGGCAGTATGTAGGTGATCTTTGGTTGCGCGGAAAACCATTCGTATTTATTTTATTTGACGGTAGGCTGCCAAATCGGTTATCCCTTTCCAAAACGATATCATTCGTACCCTCCTATCGACACATCGGGGTGGTGGGGTGGGAGGGGAAAGAAGATGATTCTAGAACATCACGTAATCATCGGAACCGAGGATATATAAGACACGCGCGACCGACGCGTGGCCTTTTCCCGCCGCGCTCGCCGTTGAAACCACACCGCCTAGGATAATAGTGTCCTAAAGAGCTCTTCCCGCCGCGCTCGCCGTTGAAACCACACCGCCTAGGATAGTAGTGTCCTAAAGAGCTCGTTGTTGGAAACACATCTAGTAGAAACCGCTTTAGCCTGGAAGCAGTCGAGCTCCAGGAAACCCGCCTCACCTCGTGTGAGATATAGTCGCGCACCGCCTCTCTCCGGAGTGTTCCAGAAGTTGCAGTTATAATGCTCGACCGCAAAGAAGAAACATCCCGGTGAGTCAACATTTTCCTAATAGTATTTTCCTGCTTGATATAGTAGTTTTAACCCGCTCCAATTTTGTGTTTTCCTAATCAAGCAGGATTCCTTTCATCGATTTGGCATAATAGTTCGTTTTTTTGGGAAGAGCGAGTGCATTGTACCGCATATACAAGTGTAGAAGCATTAGCAGATACAGTCCACTTAGATTAATAATTCGCGCAATAGGTTTAAGGTTCGACCGGGGAACTAGACTTCGGCAGCCTTAAACACGTGGCTCCACCATTTTATGGTCCTTCGAGCCGGATTTGGATTGGTGTTTAGTGGTTATCCAACCATTTTCTGGTCGAATAATTAGTGTTCGTAAATAGTGTAAATAGTGTTCGTTTAAATTTTGATTAGGTACTCGCAAACAGAATTGTTTATTTCATAGCGCTCGTATTTGGTTAAATTTAAGGTTTAAAATTGAAACAGTGTGATAGCAACCGTTTGGTACGATTACCCGACAATCTTTATAAAACATTGAGTTAGCAAGCAACGTGTCGCCTCGACTGTAGCAGGTGTTCGATTTAATTACGTAATACGGCATACCGAGCGTCCATCGTCCATCGTTTATGCGTGTGAGATTAATTGTGATTAATAACTTTGTTATAATAATTTAAAATGGCAGTTAGTGGAAGTGAATTTAAAATTAAAACGCTTTATGCCAAGAGGGACGTACTTTTTTCACGTATACAAAACATTAGCGATCATATAAAGAACATTAATGTAGAAGCGGTGCGGGAAACTTTTCTGAATGAAATTGAAACGGTGGATTCTTTGCGGACGGATTACGAAAGAATATTAGACCAAATTAATCATTTGGAATTACAAATCGACC